GCTTCCACTTGTAAAAGAAGTACACTTTAGCATACTTTTAAAAGAATATATGTGTGTGAACTGAATGCAATGTTTTTCAGACACTTAGTTGTATATTGTTTACAATTAAACCAAACTTTATTATAGTTTAAATTAATTTTAAATGCAATTAGCTGAACTTTAGAGTGCTTTTTATGTCCCACTTACTGTAAGTAGGATTAAGTACATCTTAATGTCATAATTACTTGTCTTTGAAATACGGTTAAATTACTGCTGAATGTACTGACAAGCATTTCTCATAAACTAAAATACACTTTCTTGTCATTTTTATTAAAACTTGTGTGTCATATAATTAAATTTGTTTGTAGCATTTATTATGATAGTTGCAGTTTAATACATTTGAAATATATTAACTTTAAATGTAATGTTATTGAATAACACACTACAGTTCAAATGGCTACACTGTATTTTGATAGTTCACTACTAGACATTCTACTAACTAAAAGTTACTTTACAACTACATGTCAACTAGCTCTCATCAGAGTATTAGTAGACTGTTAGGTTAGAGATAAAGTAGACTACTTGCAAAGTTACTTATAGTCAGTAGATTGTCTGACCATCAAAATAAAGTGTAGCAGTTAATAACCAGACAGTCTACTAATAATAGTAGACTAACTTATAGTTAGTAGAAAGTGGACTATCAAAATAAAGTGTAGCAGTTAATAACCAGACAGTCTACTAATAATAGTAGACTAACTTATAGTTAGTAGAAAGTGGACTATCAAAATAAAGTGCTGCTGTTAAAATTATAATCCAGTACTTTACATGTGCTTTAGACATGTTAGTCAAAATAAGTGTACTTCTTTAAAGCATAACAAAACATTATTAAAACATAATGATTTAATTTGACATTATTACAATTATAAATGTACTTAAGTGTGCTAGAAACATGGCCATGGAAGTGTCTCGCTTTAAGCACACTCAAGTGGCCTTTTAATTTTATTAATATTATATTATCTGCAAGTAATTTTTTTTAAAACAGCTGATAAAGATTTGAAGTACACTTACAAGTACACATTCAGTACAGTGAAGTGCACTTCACAAATGTGGCCACAGTGCAAATAAAGAAATCAGGTCACTTAACTTTTTGCATCAAAACGCGTCACCCAACAGTAAGCATCAATCATGCAGAGGTTAACACCTGCTCGCCTTTCTTAGTGATTGATATAATTAGCCATTCTGTTGGTGTTTATGATGTCCCCCAATACCTTTGCTCCTGTTTTTCTCTGTTACACCTTAAAAAGTAACCATTTAGACAGAAAGGTTCTTCTATGGCATCGTGAAGCACCTTTATTTTTAAGAGTGTAATGCATTACTTACGTTTGAATGACTGGGCTTAAACAACCATTAATTTCCCTCTGGATGTAAGGATAGTTTTGTCACGTCACGTTGCATCCCTGGCTTGCAGTGACTACGGGTTTTCAGTTGTATTTGTCAGTGAATAAATAAAAAGAGCATTAATGCACATTACCGTTTTGGAAAATTGTGGCAATTGGCAATTGTGTTTCTTGAGAACACTTCAGGCAGAACTCAATGAACAAAGAAACCATTGTAGGTAACAACGGCTCCCATAGTTTTGACAGTATGTGCACTCAGGTTGTTTTCTCCTGCTGATTTGCCCCTTGAACCTTCTTAAGGCACACCAAATACAGACCTCCCCCTTTCACCCCATTATCAACATCCCTGGCTTTACATGTCTCCGGGAGCCTCGAGTGCTAATGACTCCTGCGGCACATTATTGATGGATGTGTATTTCTAAACAAGACAGATGAGCGCTAGCGGAGACTGATACCCAGACGGCTTCATTCAACAGCCGGTCCAGTGGGCATGAAGGAGTGACAGCCGCAGCCTCAGGCGCAGGTGAGCTCAACTTCTCAAATCACTCCGACGCATTACACAGCATGCGATGAACTGCACGGGCCTGCGCACGGTGCATTCCCACATGTCTGGCCCGGATCCAGACCCCCTTCCAAAATATTTGCCCTCAACTTTGCCTGGTTTATTTACTCTGGAGGAATATTTTCCCTGAACAACTCACGAGCTTAGCGTTTGGCAAATACACTGAGCGCATGAAATATGGGCACACGGCTCGGGCCAAACGAGATGCATATATAGGCGATGAACTCACGTAAGACCGCAGAGAGCTTGGGCATTTTTGGACCAGATATTCTGATCGCTCTAACAAACGTGTTGGAGAGGAATCCTGTGTTCCCTCGCATGTGCTGCGGCGATGGAAGCGCTTTGGGAAGATAAATCCATCAAACTGTGCATGAGGTCACCACTCCGACGTTTCCGCTCACTTTGATGAGTGGAGATGGGCTTAGCCAAACACGGCTCTCCTGGAGCACTGGGGGGCTGAGTGGACGTGGGGCCACACTTGGGCTGGTGCCACGAGAGAGACGGGCATATTAGAGGAGCACAGAGAGCTTTTGTCTGTCTCGGCACAGCTTGCTTGCTTGAGTTTCCTAGCATTCATTTTATGAGTCGACTGAGGCTGGTGTTATGTGTGACTTAGAATGGAAAGAGAGCGTTTCACGTTATGACAAGAAAATTTGGTGCCGTTTTTATCTGTGCATTATACTGTATATTGCTTGCTGGTAAGAATATGCACTGGAAACATCTTAATCACACCAAGCATTTTGCTTAGGGTTTGTTCTTGTGTCTTTTTACAGTTTGCATCCAGTACATTCAAGGCATTTTGGACATTTCAATTGATCATTCACTTTTTACCCCTTTTTCTTACCCCATTGGCAAATATTTTCTGATGCACTTTATTGTTTTAAGCAAAACATAATTTGATTTCTTCAGAAAAGAAGACTTAATCTCAGTCATTGTGCATTTTGAGTAAATGTATCCTGATTTAAAAATGTTTGTTCTGGAAAACAAGTCAAAAATACTGAAGAAGAACATCATTTTTGCAGTGTACTCATTATGAGACTCTATTCTGTAACACTTTATTTTGAAAGTCCACTTTAGACATTCTACTAACAGTAAGTAACTTTGCAACTACATGTCAACTAGCAGTCATTAGAGTATTAGTAGACTGTCTGCTTAATATCTTTATTACTTTATTAATATCTATATTAATACACTTTATTTTGATGCGTCCACAACATACTGACTATGAGAAACTTTGCAAGTGTGTGTCAACTTATTCTACTAACCCTAAATCTAACCTTACAGTCTACTCTGAGAGTTAGTTGACATGTAGTTGCAAAGCTACTTATAGTTAGTAGCATGTCTAAAGTGGACTATCAAAATAAAGTGTAACCCTCTATTCTCACATACATCATATTAGTTTCAGGTGTGCATCTTTTCTGAGGTTTTGTAAACTTTATACAGTATTTTGGTCTTCATTTGACATCTGTTTGAATGCTGAATTGCGATTGTGTTTTGTCTACACGGAACCAAAGTCTAAAAGCCAAACCTTTAACATTATTCCACTGCTGCTTTGTATGCACTGCTGTTTCCTTCAGGAACTGCAGATGTAGTACTGTAAAGCTGTTGCCTCTCAGTATTGTCTTATGTCCGCTTCCAGAGGCTTCCAGATAAACCCTGTATTTGTGTTGACACGAGATCCAGAGCATCCGTGTCTCCCAGCTGCATGCGGTCAAGGGAAAACATTTCCTTTAGAGCAGCAACTGAAAGGTCAGTCGCAGCACCTGCGTTCATGCCAAGGCTGGACATCACGTGATCACACACATATCCAGGCGTCTCGGGTCATCCTTAACCAGTCAACACCTTCATCTGACCTCCCATTAACCCACACCACAGGAGATCCATTTCCACACAAGCCTGAAAGTTCAATACAAGGAAAGCAACAAATTGTGCAACAGCGTTTTAAAGATTATGTGTTGTGAGAAGGAAAAACTGAGGAATGATTTGCGAGGATGGTGATGTTGATGATGCCACCAGACGGAGAGAGCGATCCCATATGTTGGGTCACGTGTGTATCTGGTAAATATTATAATGAGGCAATGCTTCTTATCCTCGCTAAGGAACATAATGTGGAACAGAAGGCCAGTGGTTCAGTCATTGTCCATTGAATTAACCCCAATCAGCTCTGAGGAGCATCCTGACTTTGGGAGTACAGAAAAACGTACAGAAAAACGAAGAGCAATGGAGAAAGAGAATTCTTGAGCTTCTTCAGTGATTGACATTGATTGGATCATCTCAGAAACGTCTGGAGATAGAATCCTAAATGCTATAGGAATCGTTTTCTCGCTTATTTCTAAAATAAATGAGCCTGCTTTCTCAATATGCACCTCTTTACCAGAATCTGCAGTCTATTATCAGCTCTCTATTAATAGCTATGTTTCCATCGCCCTGTTTCTATGCGCATTTTGAAGTATCGCATGAGAAACGAGTGAAGGAAATGCCAAATTTTGAATGAAAATCCCTTAATTCGCCAAAAAAAATTTTTTACGCTTGCTTGAGGTGGTTTTCAACTTGTGCGAAAAAGGGTTAATGCAAATAATGGAAGTTGCATAAATTCCTGTATGCGCATCAAAAAAGTCATGTGACTTTGCACAATGGGACGACAAATCCTGACTAACCAGCGGACCGATCTCATTCACAGCATCTGAAATGTTCTGGTCATTCTGAAATCCCTGAGCAAAGTCTGTAGTCAAAGTATTTCTATATAATTGCCTCCCAGAACCATCTTACACGACTGCGTTCCCAAACAGCAGCATCCACCTCCGAAAGCAATGAACGCATTTATCGTGTAATTTGTGTTTTAATGTGTTTATTGCAAGTAATTTATTATATAAAAATGAGTGTATTCAGTGGCTTCTCCTACTTTTCTTAGTGATATATAGTGCCAGTTTATCAGAAAGTGACGATTTTGTTCTCTTTGACTCGTTGGATGGAAATGGTGCTTATTTGCAAATGTTTTAAGTGATATTTTAATTTTACGCATAGGTTTAAATTCACAACTTTGGATGGAAACCCGACTAGTAATGCACTGCCAGTTGCAGCAGTATCAGATTGAAGTTGTTAAGGCTGTTGCCAACATCTCAACACTCAAGATAGCTTTTTCCCGATGTCTTATCGAAATTACCGTGTCAGGAAATATACGCCTCGTGTTACTCGTCGACTTCATTCTCTCCACAGTAAATATTCAAGTGTTGAACCTTTCAGATGTGCATGGAGCATGTTATTAATCAGAAGCCCGAGGCTCCCGTGTCTCTCAAACAGCACGTCTGTTCGATCTCTGCGGTTTCGTCCCCCGAATGTCAGTGCCGATTACAGGTAGACAGTCCTGAGAAGTCAAAGTGCTGCTGTCAGTTTTCTGATGAATATCTCCCGTTCGGTTTTAGCAGCATGCATATTCATCAGGCTGCTAGGCCACCGGGCGATTTCACTCCTAATTGTGTCCTCCTCTCAAGCCCTCCGAAGCCCCCGTGGCATCATGGGACAGATGAGGGGATGTCAAAGAGGATGCCAGTGCTTGTCAGGGCTGCTCTTGTGGCTCAAACGGCACAACTTTATTCCAGCACCCTGAGGGAAATTCTGAGCCGGATCCCGTTAGCACCGTGCTTCCGTTGTGGTCTTCATTGAACCGCAGGCCTTTGTAGAGTTTCAGTGGCATGTTCTGACTCCTACCTGTGTCAAGTCATCCCACATCCAGCAGAGTCTGCTTTCGCTTGATAACTTTCCTCGCTGTAGTTTTAGATGAGCATCAGCAGCTCGTCCTAAGGACGTCTTGCCTCGTTATCCTCATCCCCTTCTCAACAATAACAGTGCTTTATGAGGTGGCCATTTATCTTTTCCCGTTTGCCCTCATGCGAGAGGCCACGCTTGAGCACGCATCGGTGCTGACACCCCAGTATCCGCTCTTTACCCAGTGGGGTGTGAAAGACCAGGGCCGACCTCACGTCCTGTGACAGAACACATACACTTCCTCTCAACCCGAGCGGAAAAACTTATGAGGAACAATATGGAATTCTGTTTCCTGCCGACTGTAACGACTCTCAGAATTTGCCCATAATCTTTTGCACCATTGCTGTTTTATTTTTAGCCCGCGGGTCATCTGATTCTTAGACGCTCCCCTATACAGATACAATACATGAATGTGTCATTTCTCTACCGAGGCATCTCAGTGTCTCGTTTCATGTTCTCAGGTCAGGTATATTGCAGAAATAAAGCCAGAACCAAACCTGTGTTGTGCACTGAGTCACCTGATATCCAGAGCCTCCTTCTGTTGCACTGTCATCCATCCACTTCTCCAACTCAACCTGAGATTAACCACAGCGCTCTGGCATGGGATTGTTTAACATAAGATAAGACTGAACACGGCCTTCTTCTTCCACATCTTCGTCTTTCTTTAGCAGCACTGCAGCCTCCCAGAGGGAAGTGTCTATTGCTCAGAACATCCTCTTCTATTGCTCAGGAGACATACAGTGAAAGAATACAGTAGACCTGTATAATAAATGTGGACGGCAGCTCAGATGATTTGATCAATGAGAAGTATGCATTCATATTAGGGCTTCCACGACTGCTCGTTTTTACTGTTTACTGTATGTAAGGGCCTCTTCACATTAGCATCTGATGGCCTGTCTCACTGCAGGTGAGAAACGACAGCCCTCAAGTTGTTTGTTTGTTTTAGGGCTCCCTGTGTGCTATGTGAACAATCCAACTGAACTCACAAGTCAATTATGACATGCTTCAATGCAGAACTTGAGTCCAGTTTAACTTTTCAGATTCTTTTAATACAGATGCTGCATTTGGTCATTACAACATACCATTCAACAAAACTGAGACACAATTAAACTTGGTTGCAGCTTGGGAAATTTTTCTGTATCTAGGAAACTGTAGTCGGTTGCATAAAATGCTTAGACAAGTATTACAAGTTAGTCATCTATTTATTTATTTTTTTCTTCAAGACTGGTCATAACTTTTTTGCATAAGTCGGTTGCATAAGAATGTAGATCGGTCTAATTGGAATCAGAAAAATAAGACTTACCCCTTGGTTAACTACTAGTTGGTCAGACACAGTCTTAACATAGTGGCTAGGTTTATGCAACTGGCCCCTGGAAAATAAGGCAAAGGTATCTATTTGATCTCCATGTTTATGTAATTGTCTATGAGAAACAGTTGAGATGTTAACGAGAACTTGTTTGTGATTTTTCTTTCCTGTAGGCTGAATGACGCCCTTCCTAAATGCTTTTCCTCTGCCTTGAACATTTTGTGAAATGCATGTGACCTGCAGTTTGAGGTTAACTAATAATGCAGATATTTGAGAAACGTGCTTCCCGAAATGTATTGTATAGAAAAATGTGTTTCCTGGTTAACGTGAGTTTCACATCGCCTCGCAATTCAGTGCTATTCACCGCTGTCAAACATAAAAAGCGTCTGGTACCCCAGCTTGAAGCGTCACATGACCCTCTGAGATTGAGGATCCACCTGCAGTGGCTCAAATGAGCAGAAAGTCAGAAACGAGGCGGTTGGGGTCGCGGTATTCGGTTCGAGGGCACATCCTCTGCAGCTGGAGTGTTCGGCGTGGCTCGCGCTCAAGGACTTCTCCCAGGACCGTGTCACGAGAGGAAGGACTCGAACAACGAACGGTGAAATTGTTTGTGAAATCGTTTTCTACGGTTCGGCTCAGCCGTGGCATTCTTCAAACATCTGTGGGCTTCGAATTACAGTAGTCAACATTTGATGTGGATCAAAAGAGTTCATCAAAGTTGTCTTAAGACAAGAACGCATTTTGGTTTTAGGAAAACTTTGATGAAAGGTTTTGATCCACTTTAAATGTTGACTAGTGTAGCATGATTTGGCCATAAGACAGGTCTTGAGTGAGTAATCCTTGCTTTCGTATGTAATGCCAAAACAAGCGTTTGTTTGCCGCCAGATTTGCACCTTAGACCGGTGCTTTGATAATCATCCGTCAGAGCCGAGAAGAGTTGACAGACACCTCGCTCGGAATGCTGCGTGAAACTATTTCACAGCTCCGTGTCAAAGTTGAGCTACATCAACCAAACCCTCAGTAATCTTAGCCGCCAGTCAGCTTTACCTGACAGACAAGAACTCTTCGACGAATGACGCGCTGACGTGTTTTCCTCTGCCTGCATGCTCAAGACGTTTATTTGTGTTGGTCTTTGTTCACATGGATGTGCAGCGCTGAAAGGATTTTGATTGCCTGCGAAAATATTTAGAGCACAGCAAATATTTACGACATCGTTCATGGTGCGGAAACAATACGTATATTTGAGAACATTCTCAGGTAATCAGGCGTTACAAAACAAACGAGAAAGAAAGAAACTTTGGCTGCTGGATGAGATGATCTCAGAGGAAATCTGTCCTTATTTTGGGCCGCGTTGATGCGTCAGAGCGGGTGTCTTAATGTCCTAAACATGGACGTGTGTATCATGAAAAGAGCGGAGCTTGGGATGACCAGTCTGAACTCTGTGTTTGTCCACCAGCGCATTCAAAAGGCATTGTGGGAAAAACACTAGATACTCTTTGTCAGCACTTAAGGTCTATATGGCTGCGCCTCAGGATATCCCTTTCCTGACAGGAAGTATCGTGTCCCTCTCTGCTGTTTTAATGGCACAGATAGCTGTTGGTGTGTGGTGGGTGTTGTGAGGACACATGAACTGCATCTTACCAATCAAATATCTCTTAATCGTTTCATAACTACATTGTTTATACTTTTGGTGGCTGCCAGGGCATTGCTGTGTGGGTTGTTATTACCATGCTACGTGGTTGCTAGGGTGTTTTGAGTGGTTTCTAGGGCATTGCTAAGGTATTGTGCGTGATTTACAGTATATCGTTATGCATGTTGCCAAGGTATTCTGAGAGTATTAGCACACTGAGATGCAGCATGCTTACTAGGGTAATCTGGCTGCTACGGTGTTCTGGATTATTTTTATTTTTTTTATTTTATTTATTAGCATAGCATATAAATGGAAATTCTACATTGTAAGCTATATAAACGGTACACTTGTAAATAACATATCTGTACATTCATTTAAACAATTATGTTTTTCTCTATATTTCTACTTCTGTATACAGTGCGTTATTATTTAATTTTCTGTTTTTCTTATATTAGTGTTATATTTCATCTCTACTGTGCAATTCTATGTATGTCTGCTCTGTCATGTATGTTTGCACTATGTCCATACTTCTGCACTGGAAGCTCCTGTCGCCAAGTCAAATTCCTTGTGTGTAAATATACTTGGTAATAAAGCTTTTTCTGACTTCTGACTTCATTTTATTTTATTTATTGATTGATTTATTTTTTTGAAAGTTGCTAGGGTGTTCTGAGTGGTTGCTAGGGTGTTCCAGGCAGCTTTTGGCAAGTTGTCAGTGTGGTTGCTAGGGTGTTTCAGGAATCACAGTGAAGGTTTTATTACATGGTTTCTGAGGTGGTTTCAAAGACATTGCGAGGGTATTATGTTTGGTTGCCTGTGCATTGCTATAGTGATGTTGCTAAGGGTAGTTGCTAAGGTGTTGTGGGTGATTAATAGGGTGTTCTATATGGTTGCTAGGGTCTTTTGTTGTTTTTTTCATTATTTGACGGTTGCTGGGGTGCTTCTGGTTCTGGTGTTATATGGTGTTCTGGCGTTGCTAAGGTGTTGTGGGTGGTTGCCAGGTCATTGCTATGTGCATTGCTTAAGAGTTTGGACATCACCAAGGTGAAATTTGGGTGGTTGCTGGGGTATTCCTAGGTGGTTGTTCAGGTGTTGTTTGTGATTGCTAGGGTGTTGTGGATGATTTATAGGACGTTATGAGTGGTTGCTTGTGTTTTTAGGACATTACAAGATGGTTGCTAGGGTGTTCTGGTTGTTTCCGGGAGCTTTGCTAGAGTGTTGTGAGTGATTGCCAGGGCGTTGTTATGCAGGTTGCCAAAGAGTTTGTATGTTGCCACAGTGAGATTTAGGTGTTTGTAGGTGGTTGCTAAGGTGTTCTGGGTAGCTGTTTAGGTGTTGTGGGTTAGTGTTAGAGGCTACTTTGTTAGAGTTTTTTGTGACGTTACTAGATGGTTTCTGTGGTTTTCTGGTTGTTGCTAGGGGATTGCTTTGCAGGTTGCACAAGATTGCAGATGTTGCCAAGGTCTGTGCTAGAGTGTACCTGGTGGTTGTTGGGGCGTTTTTTCGGTGGTTGTTAAGTTTTTTTTTTTAGCATACTGCCATGTTTCTTCCCATAACAAACACTATTAACACTAACATTTATTCAATTGAAACTGCAAAGCTGAATTTCCAGACCTGAGCTTCATGTCCCCCAGGATTCTCTCGGCTGGAGGTGAATGGGACGTCACTTTCGGAGCAGGACCCAAAGGAGACCCATCAGATCCGCCTGTTGCCTCCTCTCTCCATCTGCCGTTTGCCCCGGCGTTCCAGATCAATAGCAGCTCCATTTGCCATATCCCAGGCGAAAGCCCTCAAGGAGCAGATGCTAATGATGTGATGATAACTCAACAGCGAGATTTTAAGATAATCGATACGCTGCTGTGCATTATGACTTTAATCCGCACAGCACCACCTACCAGCTTCATGCTGCGTCATCTTGTCCGTATCGTTGTAGCGTTTCCTCTTTAAAACAGATTATATTATTAGAGCTGTTCCACTGAGGTCTCTGGCTGTCCTTTATCATATACGCTTTTCTCTTTTTTTCAACCGGTCATAATGCATGTCGTGCGGTTTGCCCTTGGATGATGCAGGACGCCATGACATCATTCCACTAATAG